ATTTTTAATTTCGACAATTTTATCTCAAAGTACATTTTTAATCGTAACCGATTAACAATATATAATAAAAACATAATTTGTAATTTACGTATATAATATATAATATATTTTATTTTACATTGTTTTAAAATATATTGCCGGCCATTAATGATCCTCTTCAGTGACGTATACATAACTTTCGTATGTTTTGTATGAGGTGTATAATTTGCAAACAAACCATTGTTTTTATTTAATCATTTTTTTTCTTATCATTTAAATTTATTTTCTTAAAACATTTAAAAAAAGGCTTAGGGGAGATCTGACCTCCACATCCCCCTTTTTATACGTCACTGGTCATCTCAATATATTAAAAGTTATATAAAAAGTATAGGTATTATTCAATATTGTGTTTGTGTTGTCCCGGTTTCGCCTTATAAATTTATCGCAACCTTAATATTATTATTAAAATTTCATATTCAGATACTTACGACGAGCATTTCGGCCCGGCCTGCGCTGCCCAATACCGCCACGTCCCCTTCTTCCGCCGCCAAAACCTCCCCGACCGCGGTGTACGGGGGGCGCGGAATAATAAAAATTTACTAAGTTATTGAAAACAAATGACATCTACAGTTAAACAAAAATAAATATATTTCATTAAAGATGTATTCAATGTTTTGATCGTATTCAGCTCATAAACTAAATAAATATTATTATACTCGTAATAAATTATCGTAACTGACGTCTACTCACTTTGACTGGTGTTGATGAAGTTATGCTGAGCGGCAGTCGATGCATTCGACGTTGGCTGGCAGGGTAAATATAGCGGTTGCCGATTAGCCAATCGGAAAATTAAATTTGTTGAATTATTAAATAAAAATAACACGATATTTAAGAATGTATTTAATTTTAATACTTTTTCAGGGAACTAAAAGTCTAAGTCATAACCCAATTAGTCTTAATTTAAAAATAACTAATTTAAAGCGGTCCTTACACGATCAATAATATTGCACAATATTATTAACGGTCTAATATAGATTTTGAAGGATTGTACAATATACAGAAGAAATCAAACTGGGTTGGAAATGTATTGCACAATACACAATATTATTGAACGTTTGAATATGATATTGTCCAAAATTACTCAATATTTAGTATCGGTTGTGAAAAAACACATGTTGATTTACACTATATAATTTTTCTATACACAAACATAAGAATTATGTCAACCAAAATAGAAGAACGTTAATTTATAATCGAATGTATTCAGTTGAATCGGGATCTGCCGGCACTTTGGAAAGTGAAATATAAGGATTATTCCAATCGAAACAAAAAAAAAAATGATGCTTATGAAACGTTACTAAGGAAATATCCAGAAGCCACTAAAGAAGATGTTAAGAAAAAAATGAATGCATTAAGAACAAATTTTCGTAAAGAATTAAAAAAGGTTGTTAGTATAAATACATATATATTACGGTAATAGAACGACTACCGTAACATACATAACAATATATTTTTATATATTATTAAAGTACGCTCTTTGTTTATACCACTCTTTCATCCAACGTCTTCTTTTATTTTGTTTGGGATTTTTTTTTTTTTTGTTCAATCCAAATGCTACAGCGATGCAAATTAATTCGGTATCGTTTAGATACATTTTTAAAACAATGATAATTTATAATTTGTAGCAGATGGTAAATGCCAATAAATTGACACGCATAAACACAGCGTAAGCCAGCGTAAGCCAGCGTAACTAGCAGCAAATGTTTGGGGTAGCAATACTTTTATACATTTTTAACCTTCTTCCATAAGCACAAATAGGGGGCTATGTGGGCTAATAAAAAATCACATTATAATACTGTTTCCGTTAATAATACTGTTATCACTTATCAATGACATGAAAATTCACCAATAACAATTTTTTTTTATACTAACCGCCTAATGATAACTAAATAGTAAATACGTACTGTCGACGAATTTTTTTTATTAAATTATAGAAATAATTTTGTGGTAACAAAATGATACTCTTGCGACCAACATAAAAATGTTGGAGGTCGCGACCGCTACCCCAAGTTACACCACTGGCGTAAGCTTAACAACACCTTTATGACCTGGCCAACGAATATTTCTCAACTGAATATTGGGCAATAATATTGAGAGTTTTGGGTGAAATAAATTTTGAACAAAATATTGATACAATTTTATTCACTCAATATTATTGATCGTGTAGGGACTGCCTAAAGCAAAAATATATTATACGTTCTTGTGAATTGTACATTTGTGATTTTTCACATATTGTTTTTACTCGTGTCAAAAAATTTGGAAAATCCGCTGTCACAATTTTTAAAAATAAGCATTTGAATTTGAAATGTTGATAAAAATCACGAAATCTGCCTATTTTTGGTAGTTAAAAGTTGATAAACATTACAGTATGTATACTTAGGTAAGATTTAAAAATGTAACATAGTGAATGTGCTCTTTCCAGCGAACTAAAAAAGTTTACCGGAGCAGCGTTAGAAAATTATATTTTGATGAAATCAAGTGTTTCCGCGATAAAATCCAAAATCGTTAAAAATGTGCACCACCTCTAAAGAAAATCCATATAAATATTTAGTGAACATTTTCAAGTTCCTTACGATTATTATTTTTTGAATTTTGTACATTTAAAAAGAAAAATCGAAGTCGGCAGTTAATAAACATTACAGTTTTCTTTTTTTTTTGCAATTTTTCATTACTTTTCCGCAATTATTGGGAAAAATGTTAAGAAATTCAAATTCCAACTAGACAACATTTACTATCGCAAACCAACCCTAAAGTTGTTGATGGGATAATTTTTACTTGGATATTTAACATACACAAAAACTAAAACAAATCATGCTAAAATTAATACATTTCTCGTTTCAATCGGAATCTAAAATTATTTAACGTAAATTCGTTTAGTCTTCAAACTCAAATGTTAAGTTATCAATTCGTGTTTCGTGTGGTGGATAGAGAATGATTGTATTTATAAGAAGTTAATCGATAGACTAGGAATATAATTACTTAGAAAAAAATATTTAAAAATAGATATTTTTATAGAATGTATTATTTCCCCGCTCCATTGGAGTGGCTCTTTGCTAGGAACCAATTGTCTACATAATCTTATTATGAGACTATTGTCTCATACTCAGTACTCACCAGTCAGAGTAAAAATAATATTTAATATTTATTAATCATATTTATCACAACTTATGACATCGTAGGTATTATATAGGTAGAATGTACCAAATACAATAATCCAAACATTTGATTTCATATTATAACAAATATTATCTGTGAACCAATTAACAGGGGTACAGATTTCATATCATGGTGAAATGAACGGCGGCGAAATGTCCGATTCCGGCATACTAGACATATTATATCATGAACAGGGCTCGGAAGTTGTACCACTAAACATTTTACTTTTTAGCTCTTATTTATGCACTTAAAAACTCTAAAATATGCGCTATAGATAGCACGAAAAATAAAATAATATGCATTTAACTAGAAAAAATTTCTAATTTACTAGGAAAAAAAATTAAATGTAATTTTACAAATTTTTGGGCTCATAAACGTCTGGACTGTTGAGTTATAAACTGTCAATAAAAATGTTAAATTAATTGCATGTACTTGTAAAAGTGTACTTATAATTAAATTATTTTATATAAAATTGGATATTACCCTGGATTATTAAAATGTTTGATAATCTAATGCAGAGGTTCCCAACCTCTTTTGACTCGCGGCACCCTTGGACATTTTCTAAAAATCCGGAGGCACCCTGTGCTCTATGGCCTATATTCTAATATTCTATAGACTGCTTCGGTTCTATTTATTAATGCATAAGTATAATCAAAAGTAGTAAGATGTAGGTGCATACTATATATATATTACATTTAATAAATAAATTATTACATTGTATTTATTTTTATTTTTAATTATTATTTATCTTTATTTATTATTTAATTTACAATATTAATTTAAAATTAGGGAACTTATTTATTTATTTATTATTGGAACTAATGTGACACTTGGGCTTGTTTTTTTTTACACAAATCTTTTATTTGTGATCGAATAGTTGAAAGTTGAATAGTTAAAAATGTAGATCTCGAAATTGGCCAAAGTGTTCCCTTAGATATTTTCACACAGCATAAAACATCACCTCATATGCCACTGACATTATTTTAATAGTCCGCGCTCTTCCGGAACACGTTCAAAACGAGTTTCGAAAATGTTCGTTTTTACGGCAATCCGAATTACCGCATGCCGTCGGGCGGTGCTAACTTTAAAAATGTAAATATGTATGCATTTTCACACAATTTGTTTTTCACATCGAGTTTGCAGTTATACTGTCATATTTATGGGACTTATTCGCCTATTTTGACTGATTTTTTTTTATTTTTTATCGTTATTGGTATCTGGTCGTTTAAAGTTTTTGTTTTTATACGTGGTGTTGTGGCTGCACTGTTACCATAGCAATTATTGTATGCAATTGACAAATTATGGTGCTAAGAAATTTCTACATTAAAGGTGCTTGGGAGACACTGGGCATCTTATCTATTGCTATTGGATTATTGCTAATGTAACCATCGTCTGATAAAGTATATCGTTAATATTGTGTTATAAATAAAAAACTAATAAAAATACTTACAATTTTTAAATCCTTTATTTTGTTTAATTTATTTTTTTTGTTGTTGACAATGGATAATTTGACTTATAATGTCATAGCTGCAATATCAAAAAATGGTGGAATTGGCTACAAAGGTGATCTTCCATGGAGACTTAAAAATGAAATGGAATATTTCAATCGGATGACCAAACTAGTGAATCGAGAAGGTGCTCAAAATGCAGTTATAATGGGTCGTTGTACTTGGCAGTCAATACCTGATAAATATAGACCACTAAAAGGAAGATTAAATGTAATAATATCTAATACTTTGAACAGTTTACCAGAAGGTGTTTTATTGTACCCTAAACTTACAGATTCATTAAAAGACCTTAGTACAAACAATCAGGTAGAAAAAATTTGGGTAATTGGTGGCTCAGGTTTATATAATGAAGCAGTAAAAGACAAAAATTGCAAATATTTATATATTACAAAGATTGACCAGGAATACTTATGTGATGTTTTTTTCCCAAATATTGATCTTAAAGAATTTGAAGAAATCATTGAATCTGGTGTTCCTAAAGGAATTCAAGAAGAAAATGGTATCCAATATGAATTTAAAGTATATAAGAGATTGTGATTATCAAATTTAAGTATATTAATAATAAAATTAATATTACTTAATCCTTTGTTTTTAATATTTATGTACCAATTCATAATTCAAATTATTTAAATGTTTCCTTATCTTAAAAATGTTAGTAAATTATTTTAAATATTTATCTTTTCATATAATGAAAAATCTAATGCTTTTTTTTTAATAATAAACATATTGAATGATATGAACAACACTTGTCTATGATAATTTTTTAAAATTTAATGTCATACATTTTTTTGCTTTAGGAGAATAATTTTGAGTTATTAATTTTATTTTAAGCTTAGATTTTATTAGTTTTTTTTAACACATTTATCTAGAACAATGGGTATCAACAGTTAATTTTTGACTGTATGATTGACAATTGCTCAAAATGTATAAATATTGAAATAACAATTAAAATAGTTTTGTAACAACAAATTTTTCGTATGTAGTAAATATTAATAAATCTAAATTTATACTAGATGGCATAATAATGCTTTATTATTATAATTGTAGAATTGGGTTTATTTGATTGTGGAGTAGTATTAGAAAATGGGTATAGTGTAACACGTCCAATGTCTATTAAATTAAAAAAAAATTGCAATATATTGTGTTAAATATATTTATTTTAATTTACATATCTAGAACTACAGTAAGTAGAAAACTATTAAAAATACAGAAAAAACAAGGAAATAATAATTTAGTGTTATATTAAGTCTAAAGTCGCATAGTAAAAAAAATATTAATCTTAACATAAGTTTAAAAATCTTGATCATAATTATTATCATTAGGTACCTATACAACTCATAAAAAAAAAGTGAATTTTTCCATCTCTAGTTTTATACCAATTTGTTGTGTAAATTAAACACTACATAAACATATGTTCATAAACCATCTAATTAAATACTTAACACAAGCCTAATTAGAATTACTGGTGTCAATCTACTGCTATATTTTGTAATTAAGAAATATGAACCAAAGCCAGAAACGAGTCCAACACAAGGTTTTGAACACAAAATCTCTGTATCAACAATACTGGTCCATGATTCTAGTGTTGAAATAGTGTTATTATTAGTGGTTAACTAGTGTCATAAATTGAGATTGGATTAGGAAAAAGATGTTTAAATGATGAGATTAAGTTAGTATTAACTTATATTTTTGAAGTATTTATAATCATTGTTATAATTACTACCTACAATTAATAAATATTAATATTCGATATGATGTCAAATGTAACAAAAATCACCAGAAACTCAATAATATAATTAATATATAAGCTAATGTCAATATTTTAGTTTTGAAAACAAAGAATTATGTACAATATTTTTGTTTTTCTTTATTTTATGGTAACACTGATCGTAGTTTAACTCAAATTACCGTTTTTCCGTAAGAGCCAATATAATTTCATATCAGTGTCCATTCTGGTTTAATATTTTCTCTGGTTAAAGAGAGATAAAATAAAAAATAAACAAATTTCCCGCTCATAACTTGTAATAGTTAGTTCTCATTACGATTTTATTGTGATGATTGTTTTTCATTTTTTTCAAATTTGCTAAGTGAATTTATTAATGTCTACGTTTTTGTATTTTTTCTAAGTCGGGGATAAAAGTTTTTTTCTGTTTAGATATTTGCTTAAAGAAATCGCCATGGATACGTCTTCATCTACAATAGGTAAATTGGTTTTTCATGAAATGTAATTAATCGAAACGCACTCTACATTACTATCCACAAGATTGAGAAAAGGAATTGTAAAATTTATTTGCCCAAAAAGTAAAATGTTTCTCATCATTGTACTCATAACCATGAGAAACTGGAGCAATACCCAATGGCTTGGATTGTTTATATAGGTGGTCTGTTGTGTTGAAAATAATTAACATTTTGTTATTTTTAGTTAACCATATAAATAACATAAATAAATTAATTGTGTGAATCATAAATTAAAATATTTCGACAAATACGCAACAACCCAATTTCATACATAATTACCATTGATTATAGAATACATTGTTATATTTTATTAAGGACTTAAAATTATGGTGGTGCAAGGGGACATATTCCTCCTACCTCTCAGCTCTTATAAAACATCCCCAATAATATTTTCTGTGTAAAGTTTACTCAACTATTTGTTAAAAATAATCATACTTAGTAAGACTGTTGAAAAAGTGAATGTACAATTTTCAATCTATTTATTTTTATTTTTAATACTATTTTCAATATGTACGAGCATACCAACTACAAATATTAATAAAAAGTAAGACATAAGAGAGAACAAGAGAAAAACATAAAGCTCTTGTCTCTGATTGTGCAAGAGTGTGGAAAAATTAATTCATGCTTCAAAGGTGTGATAGTGTGTTACTATATTTAATGTTTTTCTTACTTTTAATTTTTGTACAATGTACCCATTGGGCTATATGCATAATATTTAAATAAGATAATAAGCTAATGATGTTGTTTTTTTTATTTAAAAAGTTAGTTTATGAAAACCAAAGAACTTTTAATATCAATCAAAAAATTAATGATTTAGATCCAGACAAAGGCACAAACTGAAAATTGTAATATGGAGGGGGCAAAACAAGAGTATTCTATACCTACCTATGAAAAAAAATGGTAGCTGTGGGATTTCATAGAAGAAATTATGTAATAAATGCTGCTTATTGTTATATCTGAAAATTCACCATTGTGTATCAATCATTTTCCTACCGATCCACCCCAATTAAGAAAAAAAATTGCTCCTCCTACTTCTCTAGACTTGTATCTTTTGATCCTGGTAAATCTAATAGTAAGACTGCTGTTTTAAATTTTGGTAATCAAGATAAAGTTATAACCTGTACATTAGTGAAATCATATTCATAAATCATAAACTAATCAGTTACAGTAGATACATATTTAAAATTAAATATTTAACTTTTCAATATATCAATATATATATTTGTATAGATATAAAATAATACCTTTATTATTAAATTATTATGTATTATTATTATGTCTTTATAAGGAGTTTTTGGTTTAAATACTTGATAAAGTGGTCAAAAATTGTTACGGTTGATACTATTTTACAAAAGAAGCTAGGAAAGATATAAAATGTGTATGAAAATAAATTGGTAATAGCTTCTGCCAATATGTAGACTAAACAAATAGTTTTATACTTCTCCAAATCAAAAATGATTAGCACCCATCTATCAATACAACAAGAAATGGTAGAAAATAAAATTTGAAAAACTAGCATGAAATAAATGTATGTGACCTAATAATACCTATTTACCTGGTAATAATTGTTTAGCCACTCTGCCCTTGTTTTTAAATTTGTAAAACAGTTATTTTAATCATTTTGCTTATATTTAAATCATATTTTACATTTTTTAACTAAAATACTTTTTTTTTTTTTTTTAGAAAATCCGACATTAATTGATGTCAGCGATGTAATTAACATATTGAATAATCTTCAATTATCCATTATCCCTCAAGATTATGTGGATGAAGTTATGAATAGTCAATATTGTAACTACAAATTTCCAGAATCATATGAATCAATTGTAATGTCAGATATTAATTTTTCATCTATTATTAATGAGTCTTGTGAGTTACTAAATATTTATTTACGCAAACAACCATCAATGCATATATTATGGGAACAGTTTATTAATGATATTACGTATTGTGTAAACCCTAAATCATTAAGTTGTTTACTTAATTGTTATATTCAAAATGGCATTGAAGATATATCTGATTATAGTGCCAGGAAAAATGGATTGTCTGCAACTCGTTTATTTTTCTTAGCTTCAACATTTAAGGGAAGTACAAATATTGGATTTTTTCATTCATATATTCTTACTAAATGTTTAGAATTAATTAAGTTATGTGTTGTTATGTTAAACAATTCAGATGATGTAGAGAATCGTGATAAAACCTTCGATGAAGATAAAAAAAAAGATTTAATATCTGATTTATTGGCTATTATACGAGACATAGGAATTATGGTCAAAAGATTTCAATTTTCTGATGAAATCAGCTCTTTAAATTTAATTATAGATATAATGGTAGATGTAACACGTTTGGAAGTTTTTGGTAATATTTTAGAACAATTACCTTCTGAAATTATAAGCTATGGTACATTAGCATTTAATGCATACTCTGTTTTATTGGATATGTTTAATGAAAATTGTGGTACAACATTCGATATAAGCAAAAATATTATGTATCATTTACTTCCAGGTTTATTAATTGATGAACAACGTAAAATGCACTTGAGTAATAAAAAATTTAATGTAGTTCGTGACCATCATTTGTCATTTGTCTGTAAATTAACTAAAAAATTAGGAGCTTCATTTGACGGAACATTAGAAATACTCCTGCATCATTTGTTAAATCGAGGGCCTGATCGTAGTGAATTAAAACCTCGTCAATTTCAAATCATACTTGAAATTTGGAGATTATGCTCAAATAATGTTCGAATAAAAATTAAATTCTATATATTGACATTGGTATATAATGTAGATGCTAAAATACGTGCTGTAGCATTGGAAACTTTATTCAAATTACTATCAGAACCTGAAGAAACTGAATCTGATGATCCTGATTTACTACAGTTGATGCCTGCTACTAAACATGAATTCATTGTTGCTGTCATTCTTTCTAAATTTCAAGATTCATTGTTAACAGTTAGAGCTAAAGCATTTTCATTATTTGCCGCATTAACAGCAGGTCCCCCAAGTGCAACAGCACATCAAACAGCATTAGTAAAACGTGTGCTTGTTGATCCTTATCTTGAAGTTGAAGATTTAAAGGAATCATCTTTTTCTAAAAAATATTTCTTCGAATTTTATCCCTATGTAAAAAACAATATGGCAGATTTTGATCAAAATAATATTAAAAATTCAATAATTTACCCGGGTTCTAATATATTATTGTGGGTTTTAAATGTACATGCTCATGATGAGCGAGCTCATATTCGACGTCTAAGTGTTACACTTTTGTGTAATGTATTTAGAACAAATATAAAATTTCTACAGATACCATATTTGAAATTATTGGTACATAGTTGTTCAGACTGTGCAATAACTATTAGAAAAGTGATAGTTTCTGGGTTAACTGATTTATTATTAAAATATCCAAATAATCAAAATGTGCTAAAATATTGGTTTAAAGGATTAATCCATTTAGTTGGTGATCGAGACAAAAAAATTCAAGAATTGGCCATTGAATGTATGAATCGAGTGATTTTACAAAATATTAAACCATATTCTGCAAAACTGATTAATGATAAGGATCCAATAGATTGCTTACCTTGGCTTGTTTTAGATAATGCTTTAAATGAACCAGTAGGCAAATACATGATGTGTTTATGTGAAAAGTGGCATATTAATGGATTCCTTACAGCTACTATCATTAAGGACATTATAACTTATATAGATTCACCTAATAATGAATGGAATGTGCACAGTTTATACTTAATACAATTAATATCTCATCAAGTAACAATTAAAGATATATTACCAATTTTTACTTATTTTAACATGAATTTTGATTCATGGTTTTCAAATGATTTAGATCTAGCCAAACAGAACATTTTACAAACAAATGCACAAATGGTTATCGATATACTATTTTTAAACCAGCAATGTTTAGATAAAGATATAAAGTTATGGTTGTTAAATAAATTTGAAGACCTTGTATTAAATTTTAAAATACCAATTCGTCTTATATCAAAGTCTTTGGATTTATATATAGTTTTACTATCAGATAATCGACAACAGCTCAATAAAAATTTTAATACTTTATTTTTTACTATTTGTAATTCTATTGAAACGTCTTCAATTGTAAATAATGAAGAAATGTTAATGCGATATATATATACACTTGGGGATATAGGTTTATTACAACATTTTAAAGTTGCACACAAATTTCAAAAATATCTGCTAGGCTATTTGAAAGGAAATGACCAATCCATTTCTTCAGCTTTTCAAACAATTGTTGTTTTAACAATTGGCAAATTAAGTATTGTTGATGAACAATTTGCAAAAGATGCAATAGCTGCATTTGGAGAAGTATTAAAAAATCCTAATTATCACCCATCAACAAAAATTAATGCATTAACTGCTTTAGCTGATTTATGTTTGCGTTGTTCAACATTAGTGGAACAAGCTATTCCAGAAATGTGTGTCTGTTTAAAAGCTGAAAATATTACTGTTAAACGAGCAGCACTTAAACTACTTACTGGCTTAATACTTGAAGATTATATAAAACTTCGGAATATAGTTTTCTTTGCTTTGTTATGCATGCTTGAAGACTCTGATCACCAAGTGCGTGAAGAAACTTCATCTTTTATTGTCAACTACTTACTGATTAAAAATAAAAATATCATGGAGAGAAAATTAGTCGAAGTGATTTTTCATTTTAACGGTTATTTAGGAGTACGAGCCTGTCCTGTAGAGGATTGTTTTACTAAAGGGGATATGAAAGCATATTTTTCAATGGAAGGTGACTTAAAAAGATCATCACGCCATTGTGTTTATAGGTTCATGTTAACTCATATGATGGATGAAAATAAATTGAAACTTACGGTGAAGATATTTAAAATTTTTGATGAAATCATTAAGGAAGTCAAGACTACAGACAATAATGAAGTTAAAGAATGTGCTAGACAAGTAATGAAAGACTCAATTTGGATTCTAAAAGCCAAAGAAATGGCTCTTACATCGGGAAAACCGCGTGATAGCAATAATGATGATGATCCAGAAACTATAGAAAAAGTAGTAGACTTTGCCAAAAATGAAGTAATTTTGAAAACTTATCAAACGGTGATTAGTGATTATGTAATACCTGGTGTGTTTAAGATAAAATATGAATTAGAAAAAAACAAAAAAATGTTACCTACTGTAATGAATGATTTACTTGCATATTTGTGTGTACTTACATCGGGAAAATCACCTATAAAACAGCATATTATTGACCTATTATCATCTGATAGTGATTTACTTACTGAAATTTTACATGAAAATAAAAAATTGAAACAACATAAACAACAGCCAGGCATTGAAAGTGATGTTGGAGAATGTGATTCTGAAGATAATGATGATGAAGAAAAAAAAAATCAACATTTGCTTACAGAAATTGGTTATGTATTTTGGCAAGTTTCTGCTTCTGCATAAAATGTATTAATTTGTAATATGTTTTAAAAATCAAAATATTGTATTATATTAAATCTATTTTTATTTTTTATCTAGAATAAATGTACATCATACCTTTATAATAAAATTCTATTGCATTAATTTTAAGAATGAAACCAATAAATGGTTTATGTTATGATTATGATCATTCATTATTTTCTCTTTTTTCTAATTATGCACTTATCAAAATTGCCATAGTTTAAAATATTTGTGCCATCAACTATTGTTCCAGAAACGCAACGTAATATAACTTCGACAGGTTAGTCAGGTTGGAGGGAAAGCCCCCCAAATATTTTAATAGCCCTTCCAAAATCGAAAGTTTGTTAGAAATGTTATTCATTTTGGTAAATAGTAAAAAATTTACTGTGCTAGACGCATTTATAGGAATCACTCGTTTAAATAACCAAAAATTAAAAGCATTTCAAAAGTATATTAAATTTAAATCGAATTTTGGTGAGTTATCAAATTTAGAATTTTGTAGTTAATTTTACTGAAATTTAAGAGTTAAGTATACAAATCTTAAATTGAGTTTTTTATTGCTTATAATAAATTATAAAAGTAATAAAATAATTAATATAAAAATAATTTGTACACCTAATTCAAACAATAGGTTCTAGAGATAATTAATTTTATAGCTGACATTATTATTAAATCAACACCATTTGTTTTTTTTTTTTGAGCATTTATTAGAATATATACAATCTGTAATAATATTTACAATAAGCATATGAACGGTTAGATATTTTATAAGACATAAGGGTATGAAGATAGAAGCTACCCAGCAGTACACTCAGACTGCACCATTTGTAAAAAAAATAAAACATAAAAATAAAATCCAGACAATTTAGAGTAATATACGAAATGCTATATTATAAAAAATACGCATCCCCAAAAGATCAAAATCCAATACTTGTAATTCCATAAACATTAATAAAGGAAATATTTAAGTCATACCATAATTTATCTACAGACGGTCATACCGACATATCACGTACAATTCATAAAATTGAGAATAAATATTATTGGCCAGCACAAAATAAAGATACTGCCAATTTTATTAAATCATATGAGGAATTTTAAATAAACAAATAAGCGGCAAATCCGTAAGCCTATTACATCCCATACCAATTATCACAGGTATACCACTTAATAGAATAACATTCGACTATTTTCGACATAAAATTTTATTAAAAAAATGTATAATTAAAAATTAAAAAGCAATATTATTTAAAGTAATTTGTGTAGTTATAATAACTGAAAACGTCTAGGATGTTTGTTAGCATATATATCAACTACTTCTTCAGGGTTTATAATTATTTCTGGATGTATATTAAGCAATGCTAATCCATTCAATCGATTTTCTCCCATAGTTGATCTTATGTAGGTTTTGATTCTCTTAAGGGAAGAAAATGACCTTTCGGATGTGCATGTCGTCACAGGAATAGTTGCAAATATTAATAAAAGTCTTTTGATGTTTGGATAAAAATCCATGAGAGGTAAAAATATTGTTTCCAATGCAGTAGATGAAAGCTCATAGCTTTAATAATATATCTGAATTAACATTTGGACAGTGTTTTATATTTTCATTTTTAAAAATTTCAATTCTTTTTGGAGAATCCCTTATAAATTTAGTAACTTCTTCGACAATTCCAATTGTATTTCGTATTGGTTGTACTGAACAAGCCTTAACTAAAACTAAATTTAAGCAGTGGCTATAGCACTGTACATATGTAGCTAGAGGTTGGTGTTTTAAAATATAAGCTTGAGTGCCTTTAAATTTGCCAGACATGTTGGCAGCCCCATCATAGCCCTGTCCTCTTAAATTCATCAAACTTAATCCTATCTGTTCTATTAATTCAGTAATAGTTTTTCCTAATGCTTCTCCACTTAAATCAATTACTTTAAGAAATTTAACAAAATCCTCGCGAATTGTTTTCGAGTCAGAATCTACATATCTAATACTGATCGACAACTGTTCTACATGGCTATCAGTAGTTTCGTCAGTTAAAATTGAAAAATATGTTGCTTTTTTTACTTTTTCTTCTATTTTTTTAATGACAATATCTCCTGTCTATGTCCACGTAGTGATTTATTTTGTTTTCCGCAAAAGAAAATAGTTTTTACGATTGGTAAGATTTTTTCCTGTTTATCGCTATTTGTTTTTTTAAATTCGAATCTAACTGGACATCTACACTTACATATTTTCCTTCATAACTTGCACAGAAATGTTCTGATTTTACTATGGATAATGCATGGTAATTTAAGGTTGAATGTTTTTTAAAATCAGCAATAGCATTTTTATATTTTGATAAAGGTTGTAGTGTAAGAACCCCGAGTTTTTGATCACCTATTCCGCCAAAATCTCTATCAAACAAAACACATATACGACAATATGCCCCACAGTCTTTGGCACTATATGTTTCAGAAACCTTTCCTCTGACAGAGATACTCACTTTAGAAACAAACTAATCACTGACATCTGCACAAGCTTGGGAATAAAACAATCACTAACTACAAGCTATTCTTCACAAACGCAGGCCCTAGTCGAAAAAGTTTACTGAAACTGAACAAAATCAAACAAACAAAAAAGTAAATCTTAGTTGATTAGTTTATTACAGTTCACCACTTGTACTTAATTTTAATACTATATGTTTTCACACACATAATATTGTAATTTAAGGAAAATGGGTATAGACAAATTATTATTTCAATAGTATCAATAAATAATAAATTTCAGTTAAATTGTAATTTATAATATATATATATATATATTTCATTCAGTTTTAAAAATTAATTTAGGACATTTTTAGAATTGAACTTATTAACATATTAATATTAATGTTAATATTATTGATTTTGTTTCTAGTTGATATAATTGTCTTATAAATCTAACTATATTTAAATTGTATTAAGATTTTTAAAAATGCTTGTACTTACTAAAGACAAGTGAGCCGAACTACTCAAAATAATTAGAGGACTCAACTAATTTATAAGATTTAGAGTTACTTTCATAAAGTACAGCTAACTCTGACATATTTTATATTCATATTCTCATATGAATATATTTCGTAAATAAACGTAAAAAATGTATTGTTTTTTTCCAATTATTAATTTAAAGTTTTAGAAATATATCAATAATTTCTTTATTAATACATAGAATTACAGTTCATTAAGTTAATAAGTCTGAACTGAAAAAAAAAGAAGAGTAAAAATAATATTTTGTTAAACGAACTAGCTCAATTTAATTTAGAGACTAATTTAATTTAATTTAATTTAATAAATTTATGAATTATGTATTATTAATTTTTTATTTATTGATCGATTAAATATTGGGTGTTAACCTTAATCTAATCTTCGTCAATAGTAATAGAAAAAATTTTAAAAAAAATTACATAAATAAAACAAAATTAAATTAATTTAATGAATTATAAAATATAATAACTTAATAATTTCTTATTGTTTAGATTCTAAATTTAAATTCTAAGTTTAATTTCTAAATTTTTTCTTAAAAGCATTTTTTTCCAGTAACATTCGTATTTTTTACACTCTATGTAAAATAATCAAATATAAATGCAATACAATTATTAGTATATATCATATGTAAACATTTTTTTTTAATGTGGCCCTTGATAAACATTTGAAAAAAAAAATATGGCCCGCGTGGTCCAAGAGGTTGCCGACCCCTGGTTTAGAACGAAGACTGGAATCCAATTATTAAATTTAATTAAAATAGCCAATAAATCAAAACAAAAAAATCAGAAACTACAAAGTAAAATTAACTGGAAACAAGAAAAAGAGGATTTACGTGCACAAAAAAATGAAAAGTTGAAGATTCGAGAACACTAATATTATATATACTCATTTATCAAAAAATTGGTTGGTACCTAATTATTCAATTATTTGGTCATTATTATTATATTATTATTTTTTAAATATTAATACTTATTTTAAATAAGTGATTTATAGTATAAAAATTATTTTTTATTCAGTTTTTATAATAATAATAAAAGCTTAAAACAACGAATTTGTATGTAGTTTTCAACGGTGCACCGTAACTGCTCTTGCATCATAGCCATTTTGTAATATATCACCTTAACTCCGCACATAATTTTTTTTTTTTTAACATCCTAACTCCGCACATAATATGTGTATACATTTTTGTACATAATTTAAAAAAAAAACAATCAGTATTTTATCAATTGGCAGTCGTTATATAATTCTATGTTTTTATTTGTATTAACAACTAAAATATAATAAACTAAAAAAATGTATAATAATAAAGACAATTTACAACAAACATCGTCGTCGTTCATATAAAATTAAATGTAGTAAAATTATAATGTAAATTAAAACTAAATATTATTAAGTGGTGCAAAATTTTTACAAAATTATATCTATCAATTTGGCCGTTGTTATATAATTCTATGTTTTTATTTATAAATTCCATATTGGTTTTTTTAGTTCTAACTATCCTACTTTCATTATTATTAGCAGAATTAATTCATATGTAAGGATCCGTCTGCATAGCTAATAAATTTTTAATGAAAACTGCAATATTTGAATGTGCTGAAATAAATCAATTACCAAATTTGGCATGAAAAGACAATTTTGTGCCATGCGGACTTTCAGTGTTAAAAATATTTTTAGAATGAGAAGCTAACGGTACGTTAATTTTTTTGACCGTGCGTAACTAAGGTGCATGCGAAGTTGCGGATTTACAAAATAATTTTATTGGTGCTGAGCTACGGTGGGTCCAGTTTTCAATACATTTCTTGCCCTTACGGAGTGGGAGTAATGAACTATTCAGACGTCTCGTTTTTTCCGCGTAGTCATAATAGGAAGTAATCACCGCAGAATAATTTAATTCATTTTTTATTCTTTATCTCGATGACATGTAATAATTTATTAATCTATGGTTTCAATGCCTACCACGTTTAGAAGAATATTCGAAAATCCGTCACTATCTATGGGTTAATATTTGTACAATGTGATAATAAGATAAAAATTAATCATTTATGTGTTCCCTTTTTTCGAGGTTTTAAACAATTTGCTTTTCGGACAGTTTTTCATTTAATATTTGTTAACTCTTTAAGTAATTTGAATTATTAATTTTACTAAATAACTATTGAAAAATGAATGATTCAGTTATGATCCATGGAGCTGGTGGTATTCCAGATAAATCTTGGAAACCACAATTTGGAATTATTGACACTTCGTATGAATCTACACATATTTTATGATATTTTGGATTTTCGTAGTAATACTTTTATCTTTAGAATGGGTCAAATGACAATTGAACTATATTGGGATCATGCTCCAGAGACTTGTCGTAATTTTGCCGAACTTTGTAGACGTGGTTATTACAATAATACAAAATTTCACAGAATCATTCGGAATTTTATGATTCAAGGTAAGAATTTCTTTTTCTTTTATATTTTAAATAGAACCAGAATTTAGATTTTGTTCCTCAGGTAAAATACCTAATTTTAAAGAGCCCTTTAAGATTGCAAACAATATCTTCAAATATCAAATTCAAATAAAAAATAGGTTTAATACAATTTTGCTTGTAAAAGTTTTTAACAACACTAAAAAAAAAAATTTAATTATAAATTAATATAATTTATAATTATATCAATTATATTGTTATAAATATGATATTCTAAAATGAAAATGTGATTCAATTCTATACAGCAGCCTTTTTTTTATCACTCAGACATTAATAATTCCAAAACTACCACTATTAACTAAAGAATTATCTTGGTTTTTGTTATTATTAAATATTTATAAACCAAAAAAAAAACCTCTTATAAGATAAATTTACATGCAGTATACCCATTGCAAATAAATAAAATATTCATAATCTATTTTTAATTTTAATTAAACAGTAAATATTATTAATTTCAGTTTGATACAAAACTGTATGTTTTATACCTATACTAAATTTATCCAAAGTAACATTACTCCTCAATATGCAAGAAATGTTCCATCTTGTTGTCATTTTAAATATTTTTAAACGCCTGAATAATTTGCTGTACTGAAAATAAGAATATTATTTACATTTATTTAATTATGACTATATAAATTAGATCATAATATTCTAGTAGAACATAAATTTTGAATATTAAAAATTCTACTTCCATAACTCAAAAAGTGTTCATCTTCTTTATACTTTTTCTTTCGATGATCGTGAATCTTTGCATTCAAATATTTGTCTTTTATCTTTTTAGGGAATTAAAAAAAAATCCAAGTTATACTTACTAAATCATATAGTGTTACATTTTTATAATTAAAATTTTTTACCTTAGGTGGTGATCCGACTGGCACTGGCAGAGGTGGTACATCAATTTATGGCACACATTTTGATGATGAAATCCATGATGATCTTAGACATACAGGTTTGATTATACCTACCTCTCATCTTATTTTAACTTTATTTTACCTAGCATCTAAGACTACCATATTTATAAATAAGCTATGTATATTTTTTTATGTATATTATTTATTAAATTCACTTATTTAGTTTAATATATTTTGAAGTATTTATTAAACTATTATTATTGTGATTATTACATACTATTATAGTTATTATTACTTATTACATCTGTTGTTCTCCTATGGCATAATATATATGTATATACTCAAACAATTTTTGGTGCCAGTGTAGCATACGAATTATTTTATTAATGAAGTCAGTAAATATGTTAGTGTAATGTGTTTTATCTTATGTTGTTAAATTTAAACTCCATATTAAAAAGTTATATTATAATTTATCATTTTAGGTGCAGGCATTGTGTCTATGGCTAACTCAGGACCTAATACAAATGGCTCTCAATTTTTTATTACGTTAGCACCCACTCAATGGCTTGACAAAAAACATACAATATTTGGTGAGTATAATCTAATCTCATAATATTGTAATAATTAAAATATTTAAGTACTAAGAATGTGATTTTACTTCAATTATTAATTTTATATTTTTTTTTTTAGATTGATTATTTCTTACTTTCAGTCTTACTTTTTCAATGTTACATTTTTTAAGAATTCTAATTTGTTTTATGAATTACATTATTATACATATTTATTAACATAATATTTTGGCAAGTTTTATAATTTATATACTCACACATAATATTTTTATTTTATTTTTTTTAAACTTGTATCTCTGTTAATATGAATATGAATATGAATATTAATATGCTATTAATATGAATTTAAATGCAAAAACATATTAGTTATAACCAATTTTTTTTAGTTAAAATTATGGTTATTAATTAGAGAATTATTATTTATATTTATATACATTCTTAAATATATTTATTTTGAAGTATGGTATTTACTATTTAGTATTATATTTTCATTAATTCATTATATATATATATATATTAGGGTGGTCCTTATTTATGAACTTCATTAATGTTATGTCATGGGCTCGAAATTTTGTTTGGTATATTGACAAGATAATTTTGGTAAAATTTGAATTTGATAAGTCAACCCCTTCACGTGCCTCAAAGGGGTTAAAGTTGTATGCTAAGGGATGAATTATACATTTTCACCTGTAATGTCTTAAATTCTAAATTTAGACCATATATGTATAGGACTATTTTTATAGTAATGAATATTTACTACAAAAAAGGTATCTTGTAAATTTTTTGTAAAATTAATACTTTTTCGTAAAATTAAGAAAAACCAGTCAAAGTCAATAATTTTGGAAAATGGTTCGTTTTTTAGTTATTTATCTGTATTTCCTTAGATTTTATAGCTACACAAAAATTGTAAATTAGCAATATTTTTCCACACAATATTATCCATCCAACACTTTTATATTTAAAAATGTTATGGTTTCCCTTTTTCAAAGTCATCATTATTTAATGCAGTTTTATTAAACACGAATCACACTAAACATATACCTAATTATATAATTTTGATAATAATAAAATATGTGTAGACAAATTTAAAAATCACTTTCCGAGAGATGACTATTAGGAGTTTATACAGCTAGTTTTAATATTTTTAGGAGGAATACCTCCAAATGGTATACGATTTCGTCAGCCAGGTGCTTATCACTTAGCTCGATGGATGTCAAAAGCTATATACTGTCTTAAAATTTTAATGTTTTGTGATCAATTTCAAATTTCAACAAAAGAAAAAAAGTCACTGGAAGATATATGTAGTTTTATAGTTGAATGTTATATTCAAGTGTGGATTTCGGCTCCAGATATTATTACCGCTCCTATAAATGATATTATGTTTTTAAAAAAGTTATTGAATTATAACAATAATAAATTGGGAGAAGTTGCTTTAAAAAAATTCATAAACCACTTGTGGTATTTGAATGAAGAATGTGCTGTGTTTTCATTATTTGATGACCGAGTTGACTACAATACTAAACATTGAATGGCAAATAAAATTTTGCAAGGATACGAAGAAAATATAAACGAAGAAGAAAATGAAGGTTCAAATAAAAAAATTAACGTACAATTTGACGATGTATCAAATTTTGTTAATCAAGATCTTCCATTTGCCCTGCTTAATAATAAATCATGGAAATTATTTCAACGATTTAAAATATCTTTTAACTTTTTACGAGAAGATCCAAGCACATGGAAAGCCTTGGATGAGTATATACAAGCTAAAGAAATATTATCTGCACTAAAAGTCGTTAACGATACAGCTGAACGTGGGATAAAATTGATGGAGGAATATAATGAAAAATTCACTAAAAATGAAGATCAAAAACAATTTATTTTACATATAAGAAATATTTATATAATCTTGTGATATTTTACCTTTTTCAAATAATATAAATACATGTAACTTTTTTAAGTTATTCAAGAATATCGCCAACAATATCCAGGGTTTAGCCGTGAGATTTTAAAGAAAACTTATGCTTATTAATAATACATCATTAATATTATTTTTTAATATTTAATGAATAAACTTAAAATTAAATTTGATTAATATATTGTGTAACATGAATACCATATTTAAAAAATTAACATATTTTAATAAATAAAAAGTTGTAAAAACCTATATTTTTAAGGTTTTTCTTGATTATTTACAAAAGGGTTAATGTACCAAAAAAAATGAAAACTTCTTATTTATAGATAATATTGTGTATAAAAAACGAACCATTTTACAAAAAATTTACAAGATACCTTTTTTGTAGTAAATATTTATTAATATAAAAATAGTCCTATACATATATGGTCTAAATTTAGAATTTAAGACATTACAGGTGAAAATGTATAATTCACCCCCTTAGCATACAACTTTAACCCCTTTGAGGCACGTGAAGGGATTGACTTATCAAATTCAAATTTTACCAAAATTATCTTGTCAATATACCAAACAAAATTTCGAGCCCACGAGTATAAATTTTTCAATTTTTTTTTTAACCTCTATAACTAAGGACCACCCTAATATATATATATAAAGATTTTATTTTTAAAGAGCTTATTATTTTTTTAAAAAATGTCTCTGATTTGTAATGCATGTATGATAGTATATTGAATACAATATGCAATTATAAATTAAAAACTTTTTGCTAGCAAATTATAAAAATAACCAATATTTTTTATTACAATTATTAATATTATTTTTTAAATTTTTTTATGTTTAATGTGTATAATATTATATTTAACTTCTGCCTCTCAAATACATACTATACATTTAAATTAAAAATCTGCAACATTATTAATTTTTAATAAAAAAAATATTAAGAACATATTTAATAAATAATTTAAAAAAAAATATAAGTATTTTTTTGTAATAATAATTTAAGAAATTTTTAATTCCTAATTTATGTAGATACATTTACAATAATTAATAATCCTCATCAATAATTTAAGAAGCTTTTATATTTAATATTGATAATGAATTTATGACATTGTTTTATCCAAAAACATTGTTATATTCATTTATTTATACTACTATAAATAAACCGTAATATAACTATAAAGTATATAAGAATAATATTTTATTTTTTTTTTCTAGGTCGTATTCATTCTGGTATGAATGTTGTAAAAAGAATGGGAATGGTAGAAACAGATAAAAATGATCGACCAGTTGATGATGTAAAAATATTGAAGAGTGGAGTACAATTTTAAATGTAATATGGTGGAAAAATGTACAAAACTTAAAACCTGACTGATAAAATAAAAATTTACCTATTTAAATCTGTTTAATTATTTTTATAAGTCTGTCATTCTCAATAAATTTTAATTTTTAAAAATTAATTTTTTATTTCTTCTAAAACAAAATAAATAATACAATTAAACATATGTATACTAGCTGAACCCATGCACTTTGTAGCCCGTTAACTCATACCTGTACCTCTTCTATGTCTCAAACTGTGGATTAAATTTGTTACCTGTTATTATGCTAGCAGAATATTTTTATACATATAGATAGATAACAGTTAAAATATACTACGTAATAATCTTACGGTTTTTTTTTTAGAAAAAATAATCATTTTTTGCAAGTGTTTAGTAGGGATAAAGAAAGGTTTATGAATAAAATATTTAAATTACAAATTAAACTGTTTAACTTCTATTTCATATTGTGATACCACAAAAAAAAATATTATACTCGTACAATCGACTATCGATAAATTGTAGTAGCAAGGTTACTGATGTTTTAAAGTTGAATGAAACGTTAAACAACGTTCCATATTGTCATGTTATTATTGTTATTAATTATAATACGAATAATACTCATACTTCATACCAATCAGCCTTTTCGCGTCTTCAAGATAAATCTTTTTTTCCTATTTAGAATTTGTTAAAACCTCAGGAAAATTTCGTGGAGGGTCACAACCCCCAAAACTCACCCTTAGTTGCTCAACTGGGAGACCAACTTCACCTTCAATGTTGCCTGCAAAATTGTAGCTTCAAGAACATTGCCCCTCAATAGAGCAAGGACTTTCGTGCATTTGCATATTTTTTCTAGTTAACTTTATCGTATGTTTAGTATGTACACAATACATTTCATAACGTTTATGATGAAATACTCTGTGGCGGATTTACACACGGGGCAACACGGGGCAGGTCTAAAAGGGCGCCTAATGAACCAATGGGTTGACTGTATTTTCGTTTATTGTTTCGTTTATTTTAAGTTACTAAAAATAATTTTTTGAAAACATTTTTAAGAAAAAGTATCCATATAGGTCACAACTGCAATCAAAAGTTTGGCGAGCTGTCGAGTTAAAGTTAAAATATTTTATGTTGTATAGTGGAGTAGTGGGGGGGCGCCAAAAAAACTGCCCCATGGCGAAAAAATGCGTAATCCGCCACTGGAAATACTCAAAGTTTTTTGTGCATATTTTTGCATATTTGGATATTTTTTGGTTAAAGGGGCATATTTTAAGCTTTTAGTGCATATTTTGATGGTTTATCGAAAATCATGCGCTTTGGTGAATATTTTTCATGAATCAAGGTTAACAATTTGTTATAAACTTATAAAGACGAAGAGATAAATTTTATCTTAAAATAATAATAATGGTCAGTATTTATTAGGGGTGGTCCGATTATAGAACCGATACATGGTATCGGTCGATATTGGTGGTATCGGAAATATTGGTATCGGTTTGTGGTATCGGATTAATTTTAGTATCAGTTCATGGTTTTGCCAAAAAAGATGATTATTTTATGTAATATATTAAAAATCAACTTAGTTTTTACTTGTGATTATAATATCGGGTATCGGTAAAAAGTGGTGTTGGCCCATCCCTAATATTTATTATGTCTATTTTTGTATTTTTATAATACAAATCGAATATAAAACGATAAATTAAAAACGATATCAAGTATCTATAGTCAGTGGGTAGATTAGATTAGTTCTAGAAGATTTACCGCGTGTGTGTTAGTTTCGTGTGTTAAATAATTCAGTGCAATTCTAATTTAGGTAAGGTGAATATTTGAGAATAATTCAACAATTATTTTAAAATACCTTTTTTGTTTTATTATGTGCAGAATAATAATTAAGAAGATCGGGATCCAACATTCAAAAGAAATTCCAAATCAATTTAATAAAATAAATCTAGTTAAAACTTATAGTGAGTAATAATAAATTAATTTTTTTAAGAGCATATTTAACTGCATATTTTTAATTTTTTGATGCATAAGAGCATATTTTTAAATGCATATTTGATGATTTTTTAGTGCATGAAAGTCCTTGCTCTACCCATCAATTTTATTTATGACTAATTTTGTACCGTTGCATAGCTTAGATGCATTTAAATTCTGAAGCAAAATGATAGGTGAGCCAATTTTTAATCAGAAGTTATGTAGTGGCATTCTTAGTAAATCCAGCGAATTCAAAAGTTCAACGGGATAGTTGACTACTTCGTTAGGATGGGTAACAGTATTGATCGATTTGAAAAATATCTCATTGTTGGACAATGACTGTTGTATTTTGAAGTTAATAGCATCAATATCGATATTTTTTGCGGCTAAAATAGCTCGTTCACGAAGCCACGCATGATTGATTAGTTTGTAGACCTGGAAATAGCATCTTTCATATTTACTACGCTGCAGAAATTGTCTAGGAATTTAATGCATTGTGTGTCTCTATGCAATGATATTGTTCTAAAACAATTTAGATTGAGATGTAGCTTCAGAAAATAGTGCTTTTTATTAGTTCTGGCGGCGAATTCAATGGTGGCAATACAGCTTTTCCAGACGCGAAACAGATAACAGCCAAATCACCTGTGTTTTTGAGTGCATGACAGTGTTGGCATTGTATGTTCATAGCACCGATTACAATTTGTGAATGTGACGAATAGTCGATGTCCGACACATATTCAAACGCAAAGCGAAGAAGTGATGCACGTGTCAATGCGCGATACACTTGCAAACGCTGTTGTTCACGTGTTCTGAATGTTTCGGTAACTTGTTGACGGGTCAGTCTTTGTCTCAAAGCATTAGCTTGACGGCTTTCGTTGCGTTGCTCTTGAATTTCATTAGCATGTGTGATTGCTGCCGGATTTCTTAAATTTTCATCGTCCGTCAATTGATCTTCTGGCGATCTATTTAACCAACGGTTATGGATTAATTGTGAATTCCGAGTCCGTCAACCAATATTTCCTCTTTGACCATGAATACGTGGCATTGTTTTATGTATGTAACTTATATCTGAATATAATACGCTCAATATTTACGTAAATGTAAACGTAAATATAATATCAAAGCACAGTGTACAAAAAAATTAAATTAATAATTTATTAAAAAATAATGCGGTGGCATTAACGCATTTTAATCACATAGACGCATGTACAAATAATAAAAATTAATAATAACAAATTTAGGGATAATAATTTCTTTCCTTATATAAATAATATTATTATTGAAACTAATAGCAACCATAGTAACCATCTATAAACAAAAATTTTCATCGTAAATCTCGAAATGTCTGTTTAAGCACCTCCGGGGTTGGGCCTAACACTTTTTAACTTCTTCTAAACCATCCAGGGCGTCACCCAAACGCATACAAAAAAAATCATTCAAATCGGTTCAACCGTTTAAGAGTTCGTTTCAGAGACGGCGCGAGGGGAGGGCAATAGGGGCAGTTGTCCAGGACCCGCGCCTTAAATTATAATTATGGCCCCGTGGTTCTGATTTAACTGAATTTAAAATATTTTATTAATAAAAATTATAAGACTCAAAATTTATTTTGCCCAGGGCCTCGCAAACTCTAACACTGTTACTGATTCGATGGTATACACATGTAAAATAGAATTATATATATAAATAATATATAGGTATACTTACTTGCAAGTTATTAAACATATCCTTTTAAATGTCCTTCACGTTAGTAGGTACTCAAATCTCACAGTCATTATGCTTATATGCTTACCTACCTCCAAAATAACAGCAGGTTCGACCTAATTAATACAATTCTAATTACTTGTAACTTAACAAGAAAATTCTTTTTACTTCAATGACAACTCAACCAAGTTGAAATCTTTATTAAAAACATAATTAATTCATAAATTATAAAAATTATTAGATTATTGCAGTATTTCCATACGGTACCAACCTCCCACCAACCACTACAACACACATGAATGGAGATTATGGCCTTAGTTTCTGGAACCTTCTTGAAAAAGTATTAATAAGAATTATATGTTATTTGTGTACCATTATTTGAGATATCCAGCGCCACAGTCGTGGCGCGAGCTAAGTAAAAAAAAAAATAGCTGTACGACGGTGTGTATAGTATATCGAAGCAGGAGTTGCCCATTTAAACTGTGTAATTTTTTTAGAGTCTGTTCTAATGGAAGAGATAAATGGAAAACCCTACCGATGGCTTTAGTTAACATCGAATTGTTCGGTTGTTTTCGTCCTGATACTGTCCCCATCCGCACAACGACTTGAAAAGCTTTAGCTCTTTGAATAAACTGTCTCTAAAATTCATTAAGAGAAGCAAGTACTTCTGGTATTTTAGGAACAAACAAATCATTTAAAATGCAAGTTGAGACGGGTGCGTTGGTGCGAAATTTTTTCAAGCACATATTACAGATAAATTCACAAGGTAAATTATTGTAATCTACAAAATTGACTAAAACATCCCATTGACTATTGACAATAGGTTTTCTTAGATTCTTAACATCTACTACGTCTCTTCTAAAGCACAATTTATGACATGACATGCACACATTTAATGGTGTATCTGAAACTCTGTTGTTATACTTAATAAAAGCCTGAGAATGAGTAGAAATTATACTAGTTTCAGTAGTATAATTAAAAGTGCCTACATTGAAAACCGTCCCTGTCAATTTCAACTGATCCCTGATCTCTATCAATTTATTGTAATCTGAAGCGTATATAGCATTATCGATTTGTGTAACTAGGTTTTGAGCTCTCTGCAGCCTATACAATATGTTAGTTATATTTCTTATACTCGGAAAATGGGTGCCTAAACTTTTTAGAAATAACAGATTTGATTACATGTATAGTTGTAATGACATGCTAAATTATGACTTCGTTTAAAACCATTATGCGTTTCACTTATACACTGATTGATATTTGAAATATTTTTTTTAATGTTTACATTTGAGCATAAAAGATCACTTATTATTTTTAATACTCTAT